CTATTAGATAATATATAATTTTACTTTAAAATATCTAATTGGTTAAAACTATTAAATTTCCCTGGTATATTGTCCTTAGATTATATTCTTTATGTTAAGAAATTGTATTAAGTACGTTTATTTTGGGTAAGGAATGTATGATCTCAAAGTGTTTATCAATCACTGTAAATAATTTTACCTATTTCATGTTTAACAAGATATGATAATTGGGCTTGTCTTCACATTTTTTGAGGGAAATACAGAATAATATACTAATTAAGGTAGCTATTGTATAACTTTGAGCAGTGTCTTCAGCTATAAGATGGCAATAGTATATACCTTGCAGGCAAATTGTCAGGACACTATCAGCCAGTTGTATGTGTAAAGTCTGTAGCCCTATGTGAGTTCATTACAAAGGTATATACAGAATAAAAATGAAAGTTAGCTTGATTATATGATCACAAATCCCACTGCTTTACTTAACCATACGAATCAATTTGTAAACATTGATTTAGAAATAACAAGAAAATTTTCTTTAAATATGAAAAATTGTCAGAATTCCTAAGTCTCATGAGGTTTATCTATAATATTCTCCATTTAGGGAAGCAAAATGTGATTTCAAGGAGAAATTATGTAACATTTTAGAAATACATGGCCTCTATCTTTCTGAAGATGATACTCAGTACCCTACACTAAGATATGGGAAATTAGTGGCACAAGGAAACTCTTTTTCACTTCAGCTGCTATTGGAAACTTCTAAAGGAGTTTGAATGGAATGTGAATGTGATTGGCACGTGGACTTTAATGCAGGTGTCTTCAGCTTTGCGGTTTCATGATATTGCCTAAATAGTTACAAATATTTTTAACAGCTATCGCTGATTGTGAAATGAAGTCTTTCGTTTAGAAAATTTTAGCAGAGGAGTGATGTCAGCACAGTAGTGGCATGGAATGTCTAGCTCTGGCCCCTCTGAGAAACATCAATTTGAATACTATCTACACAGGAAAATACCTATACAAGATCCAAGAATTCCAGGTGAGGAATTATAGCACCTGGGTAAAGCATAAAATAAGAAAAGATGCATTGAGGAGAACAGGAAAGATAGCCACACTACCCTTATCAACCTTTCCCCAAGCCCAGGTCACATCCTCTTCGTGGGAGAGGGATGGTGAAGTGAGGGCCGACTTCACCATGGACCTCAGAGCTGGCCTGCCCCAGCACCATGCCAACTCCTGTGGCCCTAGGTGGCTCCCTCCTCCTGTGAACACAGAGAGAGTCTCAGCACATCCCAGCACATCCCAGCACTGGACAACTCCTATGGCCCTGGGTGGCTTTTGTGGCCACAGCCTTCTCATCAGCCCACATGAACACAGGTTCCAGGTAGGCACTTATAAACCCAGTCTCCTGGCCAAGCCCAATGCCAAGTCAGCTACTACAGCCCCTGTGCCCTGATCTACCCCAGCACCAGGCTGACCACTACAGATCTAACCTCCAGGCCGCCCACAGCTCCAGGCTTGCCCCAGTTCTAGGTCAACCCTGTGGCCCCAGCCTCCAGGTTGCCTTCCTTGAAACCAGGCTCCTAGCCTGTCCCAGCCCTGCAGACCCAGATGCTGGGGATAATATCCGAATAGCTATTTCACAAAATAGTATATAAGATGGTTAATCAGCACATAAAAAGATGCCCAATGCCATTAGCCATTAAGGAGATGCATATTAAAACCATACCCTGCAAAATGGCTATAATCAAAAAGACAAGGGATAACCTGTCTTATCAAAGACGTGGAGACACCAGAACCCTCATACATTGCTCACTGGAACGTTAAACGTTCCAGCCACTTTGGAAAATAGCTTGAAAGTTTTTTAAAAAAACACATATTAACACATGACCCAGCAAAACCATCCCTAGATTTCTAAGAAATGAGACTATATGCCCATACAGAGACTTGTACACAAGGGTTTGAAAAGAGCATTTTAAATAATGGGAAAACAGTGAAAACTATACCTGTTTATCAACGGTGATGGGACGGACAAAATGTAATCAATCTACACAATGGAATATACTTCATCAATAAAAAGGACAGGCTACTGAAACATAATACAACATGAATTAACTTCAAAATGAAGGGAAACAAGCCAGACACAAAATAATATATGTAATTCCATTTGTATGCAATAAATGCTCATATAAGAAATAGACAAATCTATAGTGTCAGAAAGTAAGTTAGTGACTGGTACTGGGAGCAGAAGAAAGAGTAACTGCAAACTGGCGTAAAGTTTCCTCTTGGAGTAAAAGAAATGCTCTAATTAAATTGTGGTTATGGTTGTACTATTGCAGATTTACTAAAAATCATTGAATTGCACACTCAGAATGAATTGACCATAACAAATCATGATAACAAATCATAATAACAAATAACAAACCATGCTCCATATGGTAGATTGAATAATAACTCTCAAAGATATCCAGATTCTGATCCCTGGAAACTGAGTTGTTACCATATATGGCAAGTGAGACTTTGCAAATGTGCTTAAGTTAACTGTCTTGAATTGGGGAGACTCACCCTGGATTATTCAGGGGGTCTTTAAATGTAAACCTAAGTGTCTTTACAAGATGGATGCAGAGAAAACTTCGATGACAGAAGTAGAGAAAGCAATGGGACAATGAGAGTAGAGATTGGAGTAATTCAGCCACAAACCAAGGAATGCTGGCAGCCACCAGAAGTCTGAAGAGGCAGGAGATAGATTCTCTCCTGGAGCCTCTGGAAGAAGCTAGCCCTGCAGAAACCTCGACTTTGTTGTGTTTTGGGTAGAGAAAAAGATACATAAATCACTAGAACCAAACAGAGAACCCAGAAACAGACTCATACAAACATTCCAATTGATATTTGAACAAAGCTAACTAAGTAATTCAATGAAGGAAAGATCACCTTTTCAACAAATGGTATTAAAGCAACTGGACATCCACAGGGGGAAGAAACCATCCTTAACTTAGTTTTCAAACCCTATGCAAAAAGGCTGTGGACTTAAACATATAACATAGAACTATAAAACTTTTTAGGAAAAAGAAAGGAGAAATATCTTTAAAACTTAGGGCTAGGCAAAGAGTTCTTGGACTTGGCATCAAAAGCATGATTCACAAATGGAAATACTGATAAATTGCTCCTCATCAAAATTGTAAATTTTTTCTCGGGAAAAGACCCTGTTAATAGGATGAGAAGGTAAGCTTTAGAATGGAAGGAAATATTGTCAAGCCACACACCTGACTAGGACTAGTAAAGTATCTCAGATATACAAAGAACTCTCAGAACTCAACAGTAAAAAATAAAGCAAAAGATATACAAAATAAGCTACAAGACATCAAGAAATATTGTACCAAAGGTAGTATACAAAGCACAAATAAGCACATTAAAACATACACAACATCATTAGCCACTAGAGAAATGCAAATTAAAACCACCATTAGATATTAATGTATATCTATTAGAAAAACTAAAAAAGAATATTGGCAAAACACATACCACTAACAAGGATGCAGATAAACGAGATCAATTATTTACTATGGTAGGAATATAAAATGGTATAGCCACTCTGGAAAACAATTTGGCAATTTCCTTAAAAAACTAAACATGCAACTGCATATAACTCAGTAAACTCACTCCTGGGTATTCATGTCAGAGAAATGAATATTTACCTTCCCAACAAACAAACACACAAAACTCGTAGAGGAATATTTACAGGAATTTTTCTTTTAATATCCCCAAACTAGAAACAACTTAGATGTCTTTCAATAGGTTAATGGTTTAAAAAATAAAAGTGTGGTACAACCATACCACGGAATGCCAGTCAGCAATAAAAATAAAGGAACCATGATGCACAAGAACCTAAATGAATATTCAGAGAACTGTACTGTATGAAAAAAGCCAAACTCAAAAGGTTGCATAGTATATGATCCCATTTATATAACATTTTTGAAGTGACAAAATAATAAAAGTGGAGAAAAGACTGTTGCCAGTAGTTAAGGAGGGGGCGGAGGGAGGGAAAATGAGGGTGTGGCTACTTAAGGGCAACATTAGGGATCCTTGTGGTAGATGGAAATATTCTGTATCTTGACTGGATCTGTGCCAAAATCCTGATGGTGTTATTATTCTAGAGGTTTTCAAGGTGTTACCATCGGAGGAAACTGTGCAGGTACATGGACTATCTATTCTTACAATTTCACAGATATATGTACAATTGTCTCAAAATAAAAATGTTTAATCAAAAAGTTAAAGGAAGAGAACAAAGAAACCAGTCAGAAAGTAAGAGAAGCTATTTGAAATTTATGTATCTAACAGTTTCAGCCAAGGATATACAACTGCCACACTTCAGTGAAGAAAGATTGGCAATTCAATACAAAAACACGCAACAAACTTGAACATGTACTTCACAACTAGACTATCCATATGGTTAATAAAAATTTGAAAGTTTTCAGCTTCATCGCTAAGAAGGGAAATATAAATGAAGTTCAAATTTTTATACTTCCACATACCACTACAATGGCTAAAATTAAGATTGACAACGCCAAATATCGCTCAGGATAAGGAGTTAAAGGATCTCATACGCTGCTAGTGAGGGTGGAAAGAACTATTTTGTAAAGCTATTTGACATAATCAGCTTTAGCTGAGCATTTGCACCCAGAAAGTTCATTTCTAATTAGTAATCCAAAAGAGTGAATGCACATGTGTACCAAAATACATGTAAAACATTATTTAGATCATTTTTGTAATCATTCTAAACTAGAAAACACCCAAATGTCTATCCATGATAGAATGAATAATACATTGGGATATATTCCAACAGTAAAACCCTATGTATTTCAATAATGATAATGACAAGCCATGATAACATAAAACAGCATAGATTAATCTTATTAACACAATACTGAGGGAAAGATCGTGAAGAAAGACATACTGTATTCTTTTTATATAAAGGTCAAAGGCAGGTAAAAACTAAGCTGCGACACTGAAGCCAGGTTATTAATTACCTTTGGTGTTTGGAGTGGAGATTTGGAGCGGCATGAAGGAGACTTCGGACTGGCTGGTAGCGCGGTTCACAGTTTGTGCTCCGCTCCTGGCGCCGTCTTGTTGGGCTGCGCTCTGCAGGCCTGCGAGCCTTGCAGTTGCCCAGCCTCAACACCGAGGGAAGAGCACACAAACAGTGACAAAGCCATCACTGGTTTGTGGGTGTGGGGGGCTCTCACACCGAGGGGCCTGGAGTGACACACTCACCAAGCACAGCCAGGTGGAAGACAAGACAAGGCGGCAATGTCTGCTGCTCAGGGGAGGAGACTGTATTTATAGGGGGAACTGACGTCACTCTGGCTCGTCAGTGTCCAGGGAAACCAGCAGCTGGGGCAGGGGGCAAGCACGCTGGCGGTTAGTGATTAAGCCCTATAATTAAGAGGATTGGATAGTCATGTGAGTGCAGCAGGGCCTGGTAGAGCAGGAGATGTAGAGAGGGCAAGCGGAGGGCCATCTTGAGTGGCCTGACCACACACATATATTTGTGCATTTTCTTACATGTATATTATACGTCAGTGAAAGTCCGACGACGTATAAGTCAATCATTATCTGGACAAAAAAGATACAACTTTCTCAAGAAAAAAAAATTGACCGCTATATAGGCTTTATTTTCTGGTGATAGTCAAGCACAATGAAATATAATTTTTGAGCCACTGAGAATTAAAAAGCATTCATCACATATAATCTGGATGAAAATAGAAATTTTAAAAGATTATAATCTTTTGAAAGCAATAAAAATTGCCATATGTCATACCATCACTGTGGGTCACAGCAAAATCTGTACTCATAGGAAAAATGTATCATGTAAGTGTTTTCATTAGTAACTAGTGTGACTAAAAATAAAAGAATTATTCCACTTAATTTTTTTAATGAACCAAAAAGAAAAGGAAGAAAAAGCTAAACAAACACATAGCTGAAGTTAATAAAGTAGGAAGGAACAAACCATACCAAACCAAATTTTGGTTAACAGAGTTTTTTTAAAAGGTAAAGAAAATGGATAAATTGCAAATGATCTCAAGGAAAAAGACAGAGGAGAGAAACAATACAGAGTAGGTATACAAATGGAGACATGCCATAAACTACAGGGGAAATACTAGGCTTAACACTAAAGGCACAAATTGGAAAACTTAAAACAGCAGGTTTTCTAGCTAAAGTTAAATTACTAACATAAAAAAGAAGATGTAAAAAACTTGAAAACACTTTAAAGAATGAGGCGATGATTAAAGGAGGCATGGGCGCCTGACAGTTTCACAGCTGAATTCTCTCATATTTAATGGAGTTGTAGACTTTCAAATACTATTTAAGCCAAATTTAACAGTAGAAAAATGGAACTCAAATTAATTTTAATTTTATGAGGCTAGAAAAGAGTTATCACAAAATTATCTCACATATATATATAGAAATGTAATTTTTAAGCATGATTTTTGCAAACAGAAACCCCCAACCTCTAACATAAAAATAATAGAATACTGCAATGTGGATTAATTAATATTAAAAAATATATATTCCTTTTGTGCTAGTGATAACCTCTAGAAATGGAATTAGGGAAAGAAGGTATTCTAATCAAAAGGGTGAGATAGTAATTAGTAATACATTAAAGTTATAAGGTAAGCCCACAAATTAAACACATTATCAACAGCATCATTCACAATAAAGAAATCTACAAATACTTGAAAGACACAGGGAAATAAATATTACCAGGCATCCAAAAAGAGTTTTTGCGTGCAGATGAACAATAAACTCAGTACAGACTATCATGGCACATGCCATAAAAAAGGGTAATACTTAGAGTTAATGTATTTCTTGGTTTTGGTGTAAGAAAACAATGTCTGTTCTGGCATTGAATTTAGTTGGGAACGTATTGAATGAGTCCATGTTTTTGAATTATTGAAGAACATAAGATATAGAAAAGATAGAAGTTTCAAAATGGTAGATTACACATCTATTTGAAACTTTGATATTTAAGTTTGTTTCTTCTTTCTGGTCACATCAGAGCCCATGTGGTATAGCTTAACATTCAAATGACCCTATAAAAGTTTTGTTTTGTTTTTTTAATTAAGAACATATTCCTTTAAACCATCAAAAAATTCAAAGTGGCTTCAACTGTTTAAAACTTAAAAATAATTTTGGATCTGATATTTATAGTTATATACCAAATGTTTTAGAAATGGAAATTCTATTGATGTGGAAGAAATCTAATTAAACATGAGACTGCTTCTTAATATAGGTTCATAAATTCCTAAATTGTTACTTAATCTTGGTCTGTGGTATTTTTTTCTATTCTTAAAAATCAGATGGCTTTAGATGATTTTTAAGGTTCTTTCCTTTTTATCCTGTAATTTATTAACTTTTTTACTTCTATTTTTTTAAAATATCCAATATTATAGTTTATTATCTGAATTCTTATACTGGATCACTAAAATGTGCACCTTAAATGCTTTACTTAATAATGTAACTTCAGACCCATTTTCTATCTGACAAAATAAAACAAAACCTTTTCAAAGCTTGATTTTCTTATTCGGTAACAGACTTCAAACTTGTCTTTCTTTTTCCCTGGCAGTTACTGACCTTTCTTGCAAGAGATTATTAGCTAAAGGTCATTGCCTTTTTATTTTGTTACCTTAAAGCTAAAGAATTTATTATCTCATCCTTAATACTATGGCAGATCATTTTCTTCATGGGCTGTGTAGTACATAAATAATGCAAGATTTAAAGTCTTAGAATTCCTTTCTCAGCAGATAGCAAAGTACTTTAAAAAAATCCCTTTCTGGCTTGAGATAATGGTCTACTTTTATGCTGAATACACTCAAGGCTTTGTGAACTGCTTATGTACAGGAGACAAACCACTCACGTTGGGCAGACCTGAGGTTAGACCTGCCACAGATTGAATCCACCCTCCATAAAATTCACCAGGAAAGAGAATTGATGGAAATGCAATTTTAGTTCTTAAGATTATAATTTGGATGAAGTTACAGTCTTCTATTTCCAGTACTGGTTTTCTGGCATGATTACTAGAACAGGAAAGTAAGATACTGAAAAACGGAAATGGAACTATGCAGTCAGAACGGAAAAAGAAACGGTGTAACTGTGATGCTCAGAAGTATTTTTGCGATGGGAAACAACAGCCAAATTTACTTTCCTTAGTAGAGTTTAAATAAAATAAGAGACAGGAAGGTCCTGACTGACAGAAACGTAACACATTTTCAAATGTTACAAGTTCTGTTACCAGCCAGAGGAGAAGAAATAAAAGTCAATATTACACTTTTCCAAAATGCATGTACTGGAATACTGCCAAATAATTATGTGGCAAATTTTGACCTGCTTCAAGATGCTTATCAACAGAGGGTTCAAAAGATCAGCAGTTCTGCCTCTAGAAATTCAGAGGCCTAATTAAACTTATTTATATATTCTAAAAATCACTTTTATTTTTAAAGCACTGTTAAAAACTGGCTTACACATTTGATTTCTAAGCCTTCCTAATTGTGACAGATGTTAAATTGCTTATAACCCAGAAAAAAAAAACATTAAAATCTTCAATTGACCTGGATCATTTTCTGCATTAAATGTTTGAATGTTAAAATATTTCCATTATTTTAGTGTATTAGTTGTTACTGGATAATATAAGAGGAGCAAAATTTCAGTATAAAATAGTATAAATTAAATTTCCCATATATACAGTATAGTGATTATAGGTATTCAAACACAAATAAACATTTTTAATAAAAAATGTTAAGAAATTTATTTTTGGCCTCACTTATCTTTATTTCATATCTTACTATGGATCCAACTAACAACGCAATAAAGAGAAGTGCTTACATACATTCCCCAAATCGTCAAGAGATATTAATAACAAACAAACAAAAAAGACTTTCTGGTGAATTATGATTGAAACAAAATAATTCAGCCAACAAAATACACTGTGTTATGTCATATTTTTACCCTTTGGTCCTTTTCTAAAGTTTTTTAGAGGACAGGGAAAATGGAGTCACCAAAATTCCAAGTGAAGTAAGGAATAATTCGAGTTCTTAATCCAGTCCAACTACTTTTAACACTCTCATTTAAAAATAAAAGAAAGTAAAACCATTATAATTTCTCTCTCCATACCTATTAGTACCTGCAATAAAAAATTTAAGTAGTTCTACATTTTCTATTACAAAGTGTCAGATATGGTATTTTGAATAATTTCATACAAAAATTAAATTGATATTATGGGGACAATTGATAATTATTGAAAACATTTTAACATAACAAAACATATAGCAAATAATTATTTAGCATTTTGTGTGGGAAGATGGGGCCTGGCAGATAAGTAAGACAGATGTTGGGTTAAAGAAACAGTCCAATGGTGACAAAGAAATATTTGTAACGTAAGTCATAATTAAATAGTAGATCAAGAAAGATACAAATAATGTCTCAAAAAGGATTTCTGAGCAACACATAATTTGATGGACATGGGCAGGGATATATATAAATGTTTAAATAGTTCTGTGAATACTGATTCGCTGTTATTTTTAAAATGTGGGTGAAAGTGTAGTATGCTATGGGACACAAATGATGTACCCAAATACGGGTTCTATGGTTTGTCAGATAAAGTAAATATGCATTTGTGTTCTTTAAACATGGAAATACTATCTTACCAGCATGATAGCTCCACTGGACCCATTAAAACCTGCTCTGTCAATCTTTGTTTCACATAAACAGACAAATTAGGACATAACCCTTCTACTGTAAAGGAAATACACACTGAGAGTTGTTTAAGAAAAAAGAAACAAAGAAAAACATGATCTTTCATGTAAATATGCTCTTACACATTTTGAAGAAACAGATCATTGACTTGGTGCTAAAGCTCTTCCAGCCTATCATGCAAATACATATTTAATGACTTTGTAAATTTCAGGTCAATGGTCCAATAGACCAAAAAGTCTTGGAGCTGTTACAGTCTATCCTGTAAATGTGTATTTAGGGAATTTAAAAATTGCAGATTATTGGCTTGATTATTGATACGAACTAGCTATTACAGTTTGTCAGGTAATTAAATATCCTATCATAAGAAGTACATTTATAGGATGCACTCATAATTTATGAACAGAT